TTTCATATAAACTCAGATTAAAGAATGTAATTATTATTATTATTATTATTATCATAGCTCTATTTCTGATAAGTAATAATAATAATATATGGCTTATATAGCGCTTATACAAGTCTATTCTAAGCGCTTAGTAACATAATGAATAAATAAATGAGATAGATAATATGATTATAAAGAAAAAGCTAATTTAAATTAATGAGTCTTGATTTTAGATTTAAATAAAATCATCCTCATTAGTATTCTTTATGTCTAAGAAGACAAGTCATTATATGAAAATGAAGAGGACTTTATTGGGAACAAAGATCCAAGAATGTGATGTGTGTGGTGTCACTAAAGCACTATGTATAATATGTCACTATGATATTACAGCTTGTTTATGCACCAGTCATTTGACATCCCCCGCACCCCCCCCCCCCCCCCCCCCCCCCCCCCCCCCCCCCCCCGAGGCATACCCGAGGACTTCACTTTTTCCCTCAGTGAAAGGTAATGAAAGCCCCGCCCCACTGGGAAGAAAATAAAAGTGAAGTCCCCGCATCATCTTTTGAGCAGTTTATTTTAATGTCAACTGGATATTTCATATCTTTTGCAGCAGAAATGTGTTCGCCGACAAAGAAATATATTTAAGTGTTCAATATTTATTCCATGTAGTACCAGCTTATTTGCTTCCCTTTTTGTTTGTCTTTTTGTTTTTCTGTCTTTTTCTTTATCATAGAATAGAATGAAAAGCCATTTTCCGATCGATGGCTTAGAAAAACATAATTATTAAATGCGATGAAAATCTTTGGTTGGGCTTCACGACTTTGCAACGCCACTGTGATTGGTTAGGTTTAGGGGCGGGGTTGGGGAAAGATCATTGCTTTCTATTGTTCTACACATGTGTGCCCTCCAATAGGATCACATCTTGCAAATTCGTGAAGGACAACTCGTCTGATCCATTATATGACTATGTAAACTCACACGAGGAGCTCACTCTGTCCCAGTCCCCAAAACGGAAAAGTGCAGTCTCCGGTCAGTCCCTGGGTTGCAGCTGAAGCTTTGAATTGAAGCGCTTTTTCCGACCACCAGGGAACCAAATACATGTGAAAATGGGGTGAAATCCCTGCTATGCCCGTGGGTATGCCTTAGGGGGGTGCGGGGGATGTCAAATGACTGGTGCATTATGAGAGAAAGAATGGTCAGCTGAATTGATATTAGCTCTGAACTATATCTGGTTTTTAAATATTTTATAAACCTGGGTTTTTTCCTACAATATATACGGTATACGGTTGGGATTAATGCTTTCGTGAGTTCTAAAACGTACTTATTGGGCTCTCTGGGCTATTTCGTTTTGCTGGGCTATTTTCTTCTTGTATATATTGGGCTAATACGTCTAATATTGGGCTACTGATTTCTAAGCGTACGGAAACATCAAGATGTGAATTCGCAAATCGCAACACTATATTCAGTTCCATTTCCCCCACCTCCCTGGAATAATGAATAAAATCTAGCTTTTAACAGAATATGGAACCGTATTATGGTGATCTTAAATGAAACGATAGTTCAAAATAAAATGCTTTTCGAAGAACAAATAGGTTCAGAAAACACGAAATAAACCTTAGTATTTGTATAGATATTAGTGTAGTATGTAAGCATTTCTTACCGGATAAAGGTAGGTTCTTTTAGCCACGTTTTTCTTCCATCGTTTTTTCTTCTTCTTCCGCCATCTTGTGTGTTTATGGTTTTTGACAAAGGCCACACAGCATCTTGGGAAACCACAGGGATACCATCTAGAAAACTACCACTACCACTACCACTACCACTACCACTACCACTACCACTACCNACTACCACTACCACTACCACTACCACTACCACTACCACTACCACTACCACTACCACAGGGATCCCATGAAGAATACATCGAAAAACAAGAAATGTTACCCTTAAGTTATTTAGAGTTTGAACATTGCATGTGGTTAAATTATGACTTATATCTCATTTCTAAGTATTCCCGTCAAATTCTGGGACGAAAAAATAACTATACCGTCCATCCGAACATCGCTCCATCACATAACACAGGGAGCCCACACAAACACAACTAAAATCAAAATGGCAGATCTAATAGAGCTTCGTTATGCATTTGTGAGCAGCTGATCTCGTTCTGCGTTAATCTTCTACATGGAGTCGTTATGGAAGTGGAAAGGCGATGCTTTGCAAATCTCCTGTTGCTGTATTTTCTTTGTGATTATCTCGTGGATCGTCACCAAGTTGTTTAGTTTTGGTAAACGCAGGGGTTTTCGAGTGGCCGACCCTCATAAAGGACACCACTGGTTTTTCACAGAATTCCTTGTTAAACCGTCATATTGTAACGTTTGTGAAAATGCTTTAGTTAGAGGAGCACATTGTGAGAACTGCGACATCTCAGTACATGAAGAATGTGTAGATGAAGGGAATAAACGGTTTACTTGCAAAGCTCTTGTCTTGAGTAAGCGAGCTCACATTAAACATCACTGGATTCGAGGGAACCTTCCTCTATGCAGCTACTGCAGTGTTTGTGGTTGTCCTTGTGGTTTAGAACCACGATTATGTGATCTAAGATGCATATGGTGTCAAGAAAAATCTCATGATGCTTGTTTGAGGAGTAAATCTAATGTTTGTGACTTTGGACGGTACAGAACGTTGATTCTCCCTCCACACTGTATAAGTTTAACTTTAGTTGGATGGAGAAAAAACAAACAGAGATTTGTAGTGCGCGAGGTATCATCGCCGAAAATAAGGAACTGGAGTCCTTTACTTGTGTTTGCTAACTGTAAGAGTGGTGATAATGAGGGAGAGCGCCTACTGAGAGCATTCAGAGGAGTATTGAATCCTGTTCAGGTTCGTTCACCAGCTAGCTGTTCTTGTCATGTGGGGAGGGGGTGAAGGGAAAAGTGAGGGCAAGTCCCGGGGGGTACTCTTGCCCGTTTAGGGTAGGGACGTGCCCCTGAGCCCATTTTACCTTGACCCTGTTACACAGTAAATTCGCTGAAATTCGTACCCTGTTCCAGAGCAAGACCACTTAAAACCCTGTTCCAGAGAGGGGAGAGCGTGATTTTATTTACCCTGTCCCAGAGCAAGCAAGGTTTTATAAACCATGTTCCAGAGTAGAATGGATGAAAACCATACCCTGTACCTGTATAGCGAATATAGGGGAGTACCCCCCCCCNGTGCCGCTGAGCCCTCTGAACCCTGACCCTGTTCCAGAGTAAAATCGCTGAAATTCATACCCTGTTCCTGAGCAAGATCGCTGAAAGTCATACCCCCCCCCCCCCCCGAGTTGTAGTAGAATTTGATTGCATGATAGACGAGTATATCACTAGTCTTTCAACTTCCCTAGTGAGTTCTCTCTCCATTCGCTGCTCCAAATATGTCCCAATCCCCGCAAATGTTTTGTACAGGGTACAATATTTTCCTATCTTTATTGACAATACCTTCAATTTACAATTCAGGTCATTGACTTGCATGAAGTTTCCCCAGATTCAGCTCTAGAGTTTTGTAAACTGCTGCCTGATCATAGCTGCAGAATACTTGTATGTGGAGGAGATGGTAGTGTAGGGTGGGTCCTAGCTGCATTGGATAAAGTCAAGTTAAAGGTAGGTCGACTTTTGATCATTTCACAATAATAGAGCCTGGCCAAGCCTGACCTTTTCAGCTTCAGATGTTTCATTCTTTTGAGAATGATTCTTTGAGTGAGTCATAACAATATAGCAAGTAAGATGAAGTCCTACCCTCAGAGTTCAACACAAGTTACAATATACATTATTTTATACTAGTTGTATTAACTGTTGTTCCTATTCTTCCCAGAATTCACCTCACATTGCCATTCTGCCTCTTGGTACTGGGAATGACCTTGCGCGGGTGTTAGGGTGGGGCAGTGGCTATAATGGTGAACAAGATGTTAACGACATTTTGGAATCTCTTCTTAAAGCCAAAGTTACACCATTAGATAGGTAGGTATATTGTATATTTATCAACAAGTTATAATATCCAAAAATTAGCTGTCATAATACGTAGTACACATGAAGCATAAGCCCCCCTCATAAGCCCACAAGTCTGTGAAATGTAAATAACCATGGGTTTAAAACCAGTACAGTGCAAGTCATACTGTATATGATCCATGAAACGAAACAAGATGTATTGACTAATTGCAGCTTTTTTACCATTATTTTGTACGAATTACTGGATATCACTGGAGTAGAACATTGGAGACAAAAGAAAATAACGCTATGCATCTTTGTTTTGTTTATGCCTGGGTGAATTCTTAGCTACATAGTTCAATGATAACTAAATACTTTTAAGCACTACATAGTAGTTTTTTTGCTGATATATGGTCTGCACTCTAACCACATCTATTTTTGCAATCAATATTCCATAGATGGTTAGTGACTATAGAATGCAGGAGTTACTTTGGAGTTAGAAAGCCAAGGAAAGTAAGTCATTGCCAGAATACATGAATTTTATAAACCTAATGAGTCAACCATGTTGATAATTGCTATATTTATCTCTTTCTCTTCAGACCTTCATAATGAATAATTATTTTTCTGTGGGATGTGATGCAAAAGTTGTGCTCAACTTTCATCAGCATAGAGAACGTCAGCCGGCACTTTTCTCAAGTCGTATTTTTAATAAGGTAACAAAATGTTCTTCTAGTGCTTATAATACATTTAAAAAATTATTTTATCAAGGTACATTCTGTAAAAATCTAAAGATAAATTTTACTATTTTTAGGCAATGTATGGTATTTATGGAGCAAGGGATGTGTTGGAGCAAGAGTGCAAAAACTTGCATGAACTAGTAAAGGTAAAGTATTACTGACAATATGTCAATAAGCCTTTTCATAGTTTAAGAATCGATTCCACTACACATGCGATTTTATCCCGAATTTCTACCTTCTTTTGTCTAAACCTTCTTTTGTTTAAACCTTCTTCTGTTCTTAATTAAACAAAAGAAGGTGAGAAATTCGGGATAAAATCGCATGCGCAGTGGAATCAATTCTTAAACTATGAAAAGGCTTATTGCCTGGAGTGTTTGCCTTTGGATGCAAGATCTAATAGACCCTTTTCAAGTCCCAAATTACCACTGTGTTTCTTGATTACAGACTCATTTACTCAGGCTTAGCCTCGATTTTGTGAAGAATATTCACGTTTTCCAGTCAAGGTCCGTCAAGTTTCAAAGTTCGTATTGTTGAACTTGTGCATTCTTTACTTTACTCTTGGTATTTGCGAGTGATTAGACACTGATTCAAGTCTTAGCCTTAGTAAATGAGTTAATTTGGAACTCGAAAAGGGTCTATTGAATTTCAGTATCTTTATTTATGGAGGGAAAAAAACCATTGAATCACAGGAAAGAACCAACATTAAGCAGCTCTACTCACTTGTCACAAAACCTGGGAATTGGTTGCATTAGAGGCTGCAACATTAAAAGTGCACACTTCCCATGGTTCCAGTAATGAGATTAGAGAAAGCTGGCTGAATCAAAAAAAAGATTGTGTAGTTCCAGAAATCATTCATACCCACCCCACAAAGGAATTTGGAATTTCCGATGAGTAGGGGGGTCAGAGAAAGAACAAAAATTACAGAGTTTGTATGGAAGAAAATTGGAATTTCCAGGGGGAGGGGGGTGTCTTCAAAAATTCCTCCGTGAGGGGGGTATGGATAATTTTTGGAGCTACACATTCAGGATCGATATTTTATGATCATTATGCTATTAAAGAGGTATCAACCTATTTAGCCCTTGCTAAACAATAATAATATGTTTGTATTTAAGCTGGAATTAGATGGTCAAGTTATTGATCTACCAGAACTAGAGGGTATTGTTGTACTAAACATTGGAAGCTGGTGTGGGGGCTGTGAACTGTGGAAAGACAGAGAGAACAGAAATGAAGAGAACATGCAAGTACCAAGGTACAGTTACTAGACAAGTACTTACACCATATACCATATGCCATATACCATTCGATTATACTTCTCATTATTATCATCACACGAATGTTGAAGGTTATCAATAGTAAGTTGTAACACGCTAGATATAACAGCTGGTCTAATTTGGAGCCAAGCTCTGTTGTGCTTACCCCTTCCATGATAGCTTAGGAACTTAGATAATTATCATGGATAAAGTTATGTAAATAAAAAGACCTTTAATGAGTTGATAAGACACTGAGGATAATAACAGACTCATTTTCTTAGTGTTAGCCTCATTTGAGCRTCARAATATTCACAAATACCAACRGTAAAGTAAAGAATGCACAACTTCAACAATACAAACACTTTAAAATTCCACAAACCTTTAAGCCTGGTTTTCATTAGCGATGTTAGCAGAAGCGGAAGCATAAGCGTAAGATGTCTTGTGTTCCGGTGAAAATCAACCAACGAATACGTAAGCATAGGCAGAGCATCGATGGAAGGATAAGCAGAAGGAACGGTTTCCTTTTTCTTATGCTTCTGCTTCTGTTTCCATCCTTACGTCCTAAGTGAAAACCAGATTCTTATGCTTCTGTTACTAACATGCAGAAGCACAAGGTGGTAACCCAATCAAATTATCATACTCAGTCCCCTACATATATTGGATTCTTGCATAAACAATGGTTTCCTATTGTTTTTTTTATGCTTGCATCACATTCATTTTCACTACAACATAACAATCTTATGCTTATGCTTCCATCGCTTATGTCGCTAGTGAAAACTTGCATTTACTGGATGCATGATTATTCTTGACATAAAATTGAAGTGTCGTAATGTAACCAAGAGCAACAGAGAAGTGAAAGCATGAATAATTTATCATCAACAGCATGAATGATGGGAAGCTAGAGGTGTTTGGTCTATATTCCTCATTACATATTGCAAGGCTTCAGGTTAACCTAGCAGACCCATTGATTCTTGGTCAAGCACATTTCATCAAGGTACAGTATAATCCTGTCTGTCCCCTCCCCCAGTGTAACCTGCATCAATAGACCTTTCCTGAATTTGCTTGCATGAACATGAAATAAAGGTTTGAGGTCAAGAATGAACTCGTTTCTTTTATTCATCAAGTCCAAACTTCAACATGTGAATAAATCTTATTTTAAGAATTACAGAATAAAGTGGAGTTGTTGCACCATGAATTTTACCCCACCAGTTTTTAGATTACAACTCTTACCTCCAATTTCATCTAAAATTCCTAATGTATTGATTTGTCTTTTTGTTTAGCTTACACTTCAAAATACCAACCATCTTCCAGTACAAGTTGATGGAGAGCCCTGGGAACAAGCACCTTGTGTTATCACTATCTCACATCATAACCAGGCCTTAATGCTGACCAATCAACATACATGAGTTAGACCTTGATTGCCATGGGAATGAAAGGGCTTACACTAGACAGGGTCCAAGGTCCATGGGGAAAAGCAAAATATAAAATAAAAACAAAACCAACACCTTCCATCTCACATGACAACCATCACCTTCCATCTCAC